ATACCTCTTCCACTTAACCCACATTCTGCTCTCAAATTAATTCTGAAAAGAAACTAATTTTAAAAATCATTCTTTTGTGTTTCTTTAACATTTACAAACCAATCTTCATGTGCCATCAAACCAGCCTCCCCATACCCTCCTTTACAAGTCACTACAAAGTTTTTTGCAGTGCAGATGCAAGTTGGATGTTTTACACTTTGCTCTCAATGTGCGGCCACACAGAGCGCTACGTACGCTATGTTCGCTATACGAACAGAAAAATATCTCCCTTCATTGCCAATGTGACTGGCCACACAGACTTCTGTACGCTACATATGCTATGTTCGCTGCGTCTCAGAGTGTTTGATTCTCGGCTATATTTTTAAAACATTGCGCTGGATGGGCATGCGCACTGGGCTCACTTCCAGGTGTCAGCTGCGCGCCTCAGTAATTCCTCACTCTGATTACAACACGTGTTACGTATCATTCAGCGCAGTATTCGCTTAGATGAAAATGACACTGGAGGAATTAATTGAAGAAGTAAGGAAGTATCCATGTTTGTGGAACAAAGGGTTAGAAGAATATCGGAACCAGAACATGCGGGATAATGCCTGGGACATGATTTCTGGAGAACTGAATACACCAGGTAATGTACAAACATTGTTCTTTTATCTATAAGTGAAGAACTTAAAATATTTTCATCAACCCCATTCATTTGGAAATATTCTTTAAATTTAATGTTGTTTTCATGTAACTGCTTTATCAGATGATGAAATTCACCAAACTTGGTTCTTCTTAAGTTCACGCCATGCACCCACTTCCTTTTACTCTTACACAAGGAAAGTAACCGCAAAACCTCATCGTCGGAATTATCGCTGCCCCCGCCCCGGCACACTGTCAGCCAACATCTCATTCAAGACTGAGCAGTTTCATACCAAACATAGTTTTCTGTGTGGCCAAGCGGTGTAGCAAACATAGCGTAGCGCTCTGTGTGGATGCACCTTTACAGTGTGCTGTGTCTCATTCCTCAATGCAAGTTCATTTGTGCATACAGTGAAGTGGTGTGCATTTCTGCTGACATGCCATTGCTTTACATTTCAGGTTACAGGACAAGTGAACTTCAGTTTAATGACTTTTTATACAGTTGTTGATCTAATTTTCTCATATCACCAACTCTGGCTGTGAAACTTGCAATCCCTTATTAACTGATGATGCTTTTACAGTGACTATTATCTGTAGTGTAGTATGCTTATTTTCGTTCAGGTCAAGAGGCTTTACATTGCAGTTAACCCCAGATATTTCATTTTCCAAACAGTTGCCTCAATAGAAAGCAGGAAACAGACGTCAGTTCCATAAGAATTTGTATCGTTGAGTTTGCATAATGGTGGTCACAGTATCATTATTGTATAAGATGCTGGAATGTTTGTACACTGAGGTTGTAGGTTCACATCCTGCTGCGGGGCATAGGCGTATGTGTTTGTGTCTCTGTGTTCTGTTGCCCTTTGTAGGTAGTGGTGTGGTGGGCCAGTGTCCCATCGAAGGAACCATATCAAATGTTTAATGGTTCATTTCTTCAGAATTAATATTGAATTTTAATGGGTAGAATTCATAAGCTGTGATAACTGAAGAAGAACTGGAATTTACATAATTACTGCAGTTCCATCAATACAAATTCCAATTAATGGAATAATAACATAATATGATTGTCTCTTGATACCAGTGATGTGTTTATCAAGAGTGTTCATATTCCATGTCAGCAGCAGTAGAGGAGAGAAAATGTACTGTCCAGGTTTAATGACATTTTAAAGAATGTGCCTTTTGAGTAATAAGTTTTACTCATTTATGATGGATATATGGGAAGTGAAAGCTTAAGTTGCCGACTTATTTTTGTAGGCAAAATAGATCTCTGTAGGTCGCGGTGCAAGTGCCAAGAAGGCCCAACCCTTATAAATTCATTCATTCATGTTTTGAAAATAACTTCAGGAGCCTGAGTTGCTGATCAGCTGAACTTCAGCTGTGTACTTCATGTTAAAATGCAATATGTCTTTCAGAGTTGGCTCTGTTTTTTAACTAATTGTCCAACTGGCACATTCCCTAAATTTACCTCTCAGCAGTGTAAGCTGTCACTGCTGCTTCTACCCCACCTTTTGCCACCATCTACTTTCAGGGCTCAGTAGACTGGTGCATATATTAGCATGCTTCATGGTATGACAAATATTACATATGACATAGAAAACATTTTGGTCACGGAAGAGAAAAAGTACAAGATTTTAACTGAGGCATTCATTTGAGGTAACTGGTTCTAAAAGAGTGATTATTTAATTCCATTCACGTGAGCATTCCTTACAAGTATCATAAACCAGTCTTTGTGCATGTTATATGTAACCAGTAACTTGAAAATTAGGAGTATTTCGCGTGAACATTAAAACAAAAAAATTGGTTCAGAAACATTGCACATACTTTTCATGACCTTGACTGTGTTACCTTAGATACTAAATTGATTGTTGCTCAGTAGACCATTTTTGGTTATTGAATGTCAAAGAACAATGAAATCTGGCTGACTGTCAGTTTCAGACATTTTGCATTTGGGTTCCTTGTGCACATACCATTACTTCCCTGAGGATACCAGCTGTGTGCTTTTATTTACGAGTATGGTCTCCATAAAATTCCTGAAGTTCATTTAAAATTGTTTGAGCTGTTTTTGAGAAAATTCTCAATATTCTGTTCTGGGGCACACGTGAAAGGCCTCTGTTTTTCATGCAGGAATGTTCACATCCACTTGACATGGACCTAAGATGGATAAGCACTTCTGATTATTCAGGCGAGAATGAGGCGCATACATGTATGCACATGGGTACATAGGTAGACAGGCATGCAGGGACATGGTGTTCCGAAAACTGCTTTTATCAACTGGGGGTTGAAAATGTGTGAATCTGTTAGAATCTCAGGATTGGTTTTTTTATGATGCTTTTTAATATTTACTACATATACAAGAAAGTAAAAATTGTGATTGATTGAAAAAATCTCTAAAAGCTTTTATTGCATTTCACTCAGTGCTAGAGGCTGCAGTCATAATGACATTGTGTGGGCTGCAAGTCCAAAAAGAAAAGTAAGGTAACAAGAGTTATGGTTTATGTTATTAAGCATAAAGGATATGACGAGATTGTACGCCATGGCTGTGAATTGGGCATTAAGATCACACAAATTTGGAGGAATGCTATTGGAAGAAGAAATATTGAACTCTCAGGAAGTCTAGAAATCCCATAGGGGGGCCTGGATAACATGATTTTCCATGTGAATTCTTGTGGAAGCAAGGCACATTCTTTAAAACTTCAGGTGCTGAGATATCTCATAAAATTATACATGACATATGATTTAATAAGCATTGAACCCTTTTGAGAGGTTTTGTTCTGGTTTGTGATTCTGCACAAAGTTTATCTTACCATTTTACCTGTTTTTGTTTTAAGAATTCATATTTCTGATCTATAATATCTTTGTAATCATAGATGTTACACAGAAAATTTTCTAACTTTATGCTTGAAGTGTTAGAACATTTTTATTTTAGAATGTATTCTAAATCATCAGTACATTTCTTGTCTCCCCCTCCCCCCAATATATTGTGATATATATATATTTTATATTTGTGCTGAATTTTCTCTCACAAAATGTACAATTTGTATTACAATTCACTGATTTTAAGAAATATGTACACACATTTTGTGAGAGAAAATTCAGCACACACATAATGCTAGAATAGTCCCTAATTAAAATAACAGCAACTAAGCGACTTAATCTTTCAGGGATGTTTACTCTGAGCATGAGGATTAAGCTTATATTATGCTTCTATGGTAAACCCTCTGTGTTACAAGATTAAAAAATCCAGACTTTGTTAATATGTTTTGAAATTGATGTTATATTGGGTTACATCATGCAAGAACCTATGACATTCTTGTGATGAAGAGGTTTTACTGTTTGCAAGTAATGCATACATTGAACTATTTTTTGTCACTTATGTAACATAAAATTATCAGAACTTGTTATTTAGTAATGTACGAAGTAGAAACATTGAAACATATCTTCACAGCATGTTTTTTCATCATTGTTTGATATTGGTCCTACTGTGTTGCTTTTTCGTTATGTTTGAAATGGAACGTTGCTGACTGTATAACCAGAACATGTTACAATCCCGTTTTTAATTACAGTAGTGGCATAGCTGGTTGTTTTGCTTAGTGTAATATAGCTGCAATTGATGCTTTTATTTCATTTCCAGTTTTTGGTTTCTGTTATAGAATTGCATTTACTCTCAGTTTGTAGTGAAGGAAACTTTGTTTTATTTGTAATGGTGACCCTTTCTTAGGTCCCTGCAGTTTCTCTTGTGTATTGGGCACCCTGAGCAGGCCATGAAGATTCCAATGAGAAATCCTCAGAAATATAATTTACTGAATTCCAGGTGGTCTCTGCTCAGTTGGCTTTGAAGAGTGGTTCAGATTAACAGGCAGATTAACTCATATTTGTGTAGCAGTACTAATTACAGTTTTTCACTAGTGCTGTCAGTTAACTAGAACTGTTTTAATTGTATCACTTATAATTTCATGTGTGTAGTAAGATATTAATCATATCGTAGCAGTTACATTAGTTTGTTATTTTAGGATGTGAATAGTTAAGCAGAGTTGTGTAATTCATGAAAATGCAATCCTCTCTGTCACAGTACTCCACCTCAAACTCTTTACATTCACATGGCTTGATTGAGCTGTAGCTTTAGGCATTAGTGTAGGCTTCCCTTAGGGAAACAGATTCAGTTGTAGTGCCCATTGAATGTAAAGAATTGATGAGGTTTCTGCCTTCCCCATATGTATTTGTTAGTACCTGCACACTGCTGCCTTATGTGTTTATTATTTTATACCTTGCAGTTGGTTGTGTCTTGCGTATCTGTAGGTATTGCAACCCGAACCCACATGAGTCTTTTTTTGTGTTTTTAATTTTTACTTTGGTTATTTCATCATGTTGCGCCATTTTGTTAGGTCCCCGCCATTTCCTTGGCCTATGAAGAAGCAGAGTCCGATATCATGAAGCGCCAGCCACGAAATCCTTTCACAGATAAACTCGTAAACGAAAGGTAAATTATGACTTCCCTCAGATGATGTGTGCTGGGTTCTTTTGATGGTGTCGGTACCTCCTTTCTATAACATCTCCAGTCAGTTGGCAGAGCGGTTGCATCTGTTTTCCAGATGTGGCCGCTTAACTTGCCAGCCCTTGTAAAACTTCTGCTTCCCTGCATACACACGGACACACATACATACACACATAAGGCACACATATGTTTGTTGTTTATTTGCATTCCGTGTCTGTGCGTGATGTTGGCATGTTTTGTTCAGGTAAGTATGTATCTTGAATTATTTTCTTCCTTTTTGTATCTCTCTGTTTATGCTGCCCGAACCATTTGGTTTGGTTTTGTGGTTGCTTCCCCTTTTCTCTTTGTTTTATGCATGATTAAAATCCACACAAGTATGCCTTTGTCCACTTTCTCTTGCACTGATCTCATGTTCCCCATCCACTTCCCTAATCTGTCTCCAAACAATATCTTCACTTCACCTTTCTACTATTCTTACTGTGGTGCAGCTAACGTCTAGCAGTGAACATCTATTTCCAATTCAGATGGGAGGTGATCTCTGCATGTATTCTGACTAACTTTCTACTGTATTACTACCACTGCAACACTATAGGTGCCTGCTATTTCTCTGGCTTACGAAGCTCCAGAGTCTGACATAATGAAACGCCAGCCTCGTGACCCATACAGGGATAATCTGGTGAATCGCAGGTAGGTGTCTTACTCTTGCATGCTCCTGTGTGTCATAGCTGGCCCTCAGAGGACTAGCAGAACCTCAATGTGCCTGCCCATGTGTTAGTCTTGTTCGTTACTTGCACGGCCTCTGGACCACAGCCCCAACTTCCCTTTCATGCTATCCGGTATGTTTGTGAATGACACATAAATTGGCAGAAATTTAATGCAGAAAGACTTGCACTCTAAGCACAATGATAGTTCATTTATCGAAACACTCTTCATTTGTATACTGTGAGCTTTGTAAGTTTTCATTATTTGTGGAGGTAGGGAGAAGTTAAAATTTCATTGCATCATATTTTGTGAGTCTTCTTGCAGGTGTACATATGTCACATGTTGTATTATGGAGATATGTACAACATTTGTGTGACTGTTGATAAATATATCAGTTTGAGTAGCTTTATACCTGTACATTGTTTACTTAAAGTTAATGGAGATGTATGTACAATTCAGAATTACTGGGTTTTTGGACGAGGACAGAGTTCAAACCTCCAGTGATTCTTAGTGTCATACATCATCGTCAGAACCCTTTAGAATCTACTTGTATATGCAGTGTTCTTAAGAATCCAGAGGCATGTGCTGTACATAGCAATATGTGAAAGTCAGTAGAATCATCTTTAAAGTAACAGAACAACATGGCTATATAAGAACAACTCCATGTGAAAATGTGGATCTATACATCCGCTCCCTCCTACACGCTTGATGACATAGTGCTTAATTAGTTAAGCACAGGGACAACTTTACCTTTTACCTGCCATTCTTATAGATGTTTTCCTGTCTGATGTGCTTGTCAGAATTATTTGTTTTATCATTTGGTGTAAATTCCAATTATGGCATCATTAATGCAGTCACTGACACATATCTCCATAATGTTGATGGCGGGCACACTGACGATGTGTGTGTGTGTGTGTGTTTTTCCAGTGAATTTAATAACTTTCCTAGCTGTGGAATGTGAAATGTTTTTGCTTAATCATATCGGATGTTTTAAGGCAAACACAAATAATCTCTCAATGTTGTAACAATTAAGCCACGCACACAAGCATGCCAAATGTGTCTCAAGCTGATGAATGTGAGTATTGACAATTTATTTAATGATACTTTCATTTCACACAGTATATGTTTCATCTTCTTGATATTCATAAATGAAGGAAAAAGTAAAAAGCCAAATAGTAGTATTTTGTAAGACCTGATTATATCAGATACCATATGCTGCATACATAGTTAATATATATTGTAATTTTAAGAATGTATGTGCAGCTGTCACATAATAAATGCAGGTGAAAGACAAAATACAAATTCTGTATTGCATGCAGTTCTTGCATTAATCTTGTTTCTACAGCATAGGTGTAATGGTTACATCCTAGTATTGAACTTGGATGTGGGAGTGTAAAGACATGTTAAAGGAGACTTTTTATAACTATCATGCACATTATAAAATGCGCTAGATGAAATTATTCATAAAAACAGGATTTTAAATGTGCATTCAAATGTAATATGTAATTTCTTTTGCAGATTTTAAATAGGTTTTTTTTTAAATTATTTTTATGATTTTACAAAAATCAGTTCTTAAGCATAACATGTTTGAAAATTACATAGTGGGAGTAAATGGAATACACTCAACATGAGTATAATTTATGATGAATATTTGGTCATATTGTTACTTTGTCCTCCACAAATCATGCATAAAGTCACCTGGGATTTGAACCTGAGGCTTCATATTGAGGAATCAGTGCCTGACTTCCTAAGCTTGTGGTACAAGCTCTGCATTTCAGTAATCTTGTAAATTGGGGTTTGTTAGTAATGTGAGCCAAGATCATCATATGAAGTTAGTACATACAATTAGTGACAGTAAGAAACACAAGTATCCAAATCATGGAAGTTAACTGATGATTTTTGATGTGTAATATTTGTTTGTAGTATTGCAGTTGTGCAATAGTTAATAGTGTTTAAATATCTGCTACTGACTTTTTACTTTTACCCTAAAGAGTAATTCATTTTTAATAAGATAGGTAGAACATGGCATATTGAATTATTGTAAACATTATTGCATTTTAGTAAATTATAAATTACAAGAACTGGACAAAGATATTTCATTTTGTTTCTTTTGTGCAGTAAATATTATTGTGTGTTAATGATTAAAATCTGGATTTGCACTTGGAAGTTGCTTGGCTTTCAGAATTAATTGTTAAAATGTGACAGCTATAAATGAAGGCATACATAGTAAAATGCACTGGTCATAGATTTGTCTGCCATTACATTGCATTTTGCACTGCTACTAGAACTTTCTTCCCAGGATGTGCAAATATCTAGAGATATGTTTTATCCTATAACAGGCTCATCTCAATGGCCTACGGACAGATTGGTATGATCCAAGCGGCTGCTGGCTTCTTTGTTTATTTTGTCATCATGGCAGAAAATGGGTTCTTACCGATGGATCTTTTCGGAATCCGAAAGATGTGGGATTCAAAGGCTGTCAATGACCTTACAGATTCATATGGTCAAGAGTGGGTATGTTCATATGCAGTTAAGAAATGTATAAGGGATAGGTTTAACCCTTTGAGCATATATGGCAAATGAGATATGGTTTGTCCCTACCTTCTTTGTTGAATAGAGAAAGGTAGGTTTACAGCATGCTCATTTATGTGTGTCTGCCTTTCACCCATTAAATTTTTTTGATCAAACAGTTTCCCTTAAACGCTGTGCCATTGGAGTCCATCCAGCTACATTCATTTCTAACTACTGTGGTTCTCAGAAGTTTTCTAATGTGTGGACTTGTAAAATAGCCATGGGGTTTCAGAGGACCTGTGTCATATTGTGCATTACAACTAATAGTGTACATAAATAAGTCTTAGTAGCACATCTGAACATCTCTGTGTACACTGTCAGAATTTTAACTCATTTAAAAGGGAATTAAAATCTTTTTTGCTGAAACATTCCTTTTATTCTGTAGATGAATTTATGTCTTTCGATTTTTCAAGTGTGTAAATGTAATATGTAGCTGATTAATTTGTTGTATTTGTGTAAAGACAATGAAATTAATGGTAACTGGATCTAGATAATAATATTCAGATGACAAACCCCCCTATATTAGGGTGGTACAGTGTACACTGTAAAGATATGCACGGGAATTAGGTGTAAAACTGACAATTTCCTTATGCAAATGGTTGTAATACCTGCATGTATGGACTGCTGAATGATAACAAAATGATGATGAATGAATGCTCTTGCCAGGTATTAAAATGAAAGAGACATCATGATCTTTCAGCGTTAAAAATTATGCTTGAGGGCACATGAAGCAGTTTAAATTGTCAGTCCTTATCTATTACCTGAGGATCCACCTAACCATTTTTCGATGGCATATAAACTTATCCCCCCCCTTCTTTCTCACCATTTAGTCAGTTACATTATTAAATTCTGCAAAGGGAAAAAGAAAAAAGCTCACTACAATGTCGAGCATAAACTACAAGAAAAGGAAATTAAATATTAAGAAAGCAGCTAGTTTTAAAATGTATTTCTCCAGCCTGTAAAATAAATATGTATATAAATATAACGCAAACTAGAATTTACAAACCATCATAGACTATACTGCAGATTGCCAGTAGTCTGCACACTAGTGGTTCAAAGAGGCTGTTCCATGCCATTGTATTTCCGCTGTAGCCATGCACATATTTTGTGCTCTACTAACCCCTGTACCACTTATTATAGGGTGTTTAGTTTCATGTGATAATAAAACTTTCAGAAGTATGATATATGTTTAGTTAAATTAAAATTGGATATGGTATGTACATGTCTTTATGCCGACCCATACATGCAAGAATTTTAATGATCTTTGTTTATTACTCACCCTCGTCTTCAGAAACACAGTCATTGCAGATTTGATTCTGTTGTACTCTGTTTCATAATGATATAATTTCATATTAGAGTAAGATTTAAGTAACATGACCTGATTTAGTGAAATGTTAATTCATAGTAAATGTTTAAATCCATGTTGTTCCTTTTGCAGACATACCGTGATAGGAAGGAGCTGGAGTACACTTGCCACACAGCTTTCTTTGTGACCATTGTGATTGTGCAGTGGGCTGATTTGATCATCTGCAAAACACGACGGAATTCCATTGTCCATCAAGGAATGAGGTATGATTCAAGTTTATAACCAGAATATTATCTGTACAGTTGTTAAAATGTGATAAATTGATTTTTGTAAATGGGGGTGGGGGTAGAACTGGCTCAGGGTAGTGTCCAGTGGTGGCCATTGGAATTAATGGTGCTGAAGCTTCATTATCTGTTTTCTAAGCATGCTCAGTATTCATTGGCTATTTGGAGAGCTTGTTTCAAAATCCTAAAGTGACTGACTAAACTCCCACCATTGAGCTTCGTTCTTTACCTGGCCAGAGTACAGAACTTGATGTGTGTGTACTCCTTATATTTATACTTCATAGAGAGCATACTGTTGTCTATAACCAGACAGGTACCCTGCTAAATATTGTTATGGATTGTGCATTTTTTTTTATTGCTAGTGGGGTGGGACTAAGTTACCAGCCCAAGATGATAGGTGAGGGTGATTGTGGAGCAATTGGTGGAATGAAGATTGGCAAGGGAAACCGAAGTACTCGGAGAAAACCTGCCGCAGGGCCACTTTGTCCAGCACAAATCCCACTTGACCAGACCCGGTATCGAACCCGGGCCGCTGCGGTGGAAAGCCAGTGACTAACCAAATTGTGCATTACTTCTTACATGTGTGTATAAACTGTTAAGAATTCTGCTACAGCATTTCTGGGGATGATAATTATGTGAAATTTGTAATGATGGATTATCTATGAACTAAATGTAGACATCAGTTACTAAAATAAATATTTTGTTTGAAGATATTTTTACAGTAATGTTGAGCCGCAGTTCCATGTATCTTGCCTGCCCCTTTAGTGTACAGATTATTGGTGTGTCATATTTGGTGATATTGCTTGAATTTGGAATTTTACAGGAACTGGGCTCTGAACTTTGGGCTTGTGTTTGAGACGGCTCTGGCTGCTTTCTTGTCATACTGCCCTGGGATGGAAAAGGGTTTGAGGATGTATCCTTTGAAGTGAGTACATTTGCCAAATTAATGTGAAACATCTGTAATATATGACTTCAGCAGGATTCTGATGATATGCTTTCCCATTTCACAGGTTTGTATGGTGGTTGCCAGGTCTCCCATTCATGGTCTCAATCTTCATCTATGATGAGGTGCGTCGTTTCTACCTGCGTAGGAATCCAGGAGGCTGGCTAGAGCAGGAAACATATTACTAAGCTGGGGCAAATCAAGGCAAGCATGCGAGTGAAGATGGGTCCCTGAACACTAGTGAAGATGGTGGTTCTGAGTTAACATTCAGCATTATATTAGGAACTCTTGAGGGCAACCAAGTCGTTTTCTCAAAATTCAACCTGAACGCTTTGCTGGAGCCACGTTTTAGTAGGCAATTGTTAGGGACTACCACAGAAGGTCCGATGAGAGGGCAAACATGGGACGGACAGGCGCCCATGTGTTAGGCAACACAAGAGTGTGTGTCACGATGTGTTTGTGCACGTAGGACCGGGTAGAAGTGCAAGTGCAACTCGATGCTGGTGGTTCTTAGCCAGGCAGCATTCTTGCTGGACTGTTTCATCATAAAGTATTTTATGAATAAGAGTAATTGGTTGTTATAACTGCAAGATGTATATGATTCTGCTGTTAAATCTACACTTTAAACTTGTTTTAGTTTGTTTAGATGAGGGTTCTAACACTGTTATAAGGTGTCACAGCCGTGACGTGTGTGACGGCATGTTCTCCTTGCCGCCAGATCTAATGGGTCTGGTCTCGTTGGCATCTCGTCTGCGTAGCAAGACCCCCAGCATCACGTCCTCCGATCGCTGGTGAGGGCGTTAGTTTTATTGCATTCATAAAACACCCAACAACAAAAATTTGGACGTAAAATTGGGATGATCACACATACTGACTTTGAAATTGAGCTATATAGATATGTACTATGGAAATATATAACACGTACACAGATGTTTGTTCATTATAGAGTTGAATGTTGAGAGTTTTAAAATCTTAAAACAAACTGTCACAAATGTAACCATTGAGTGTACAAATTAAAAGCCTCATGATCCACCATTCAAGCTGGCTTTGTCCATAAGTACTTAGTGCATGGGCCGGGGAGTAGCCGCAGTCCAGCGAGGTCCCTTCCCTTTCGTGCTGTTGTTCACCTTGCTCAAGTTAGAGATCATATGCTTTTGTAGCTGGCAGTTTTGCTCATTCTCCACCAACTCTGTCATTTGTTCACAGTCCTTTCAAATATTAGCTATCTGGAGCACAAGAATAAAAGTGCTGATATCATCGATCGGGCTGCGTGCTTCGACCGGGTCTAGCTACGTGTGGGAAAAACAGACCTGGCTAATTTGGTAGTCTTTCATGACATTCCAGACTTAAGAACAGTTGCCTTAACAGAAGGTGTTTTCATTGATAGAACATGTACACAACAAAATGTTTCACTAACATCCATTGTCAACTGTTGAGCTTTTATTGAGTTATGTTTGTCTAGCTTGATGTGAAAAACAGGCCCCATCTGTTGCATTTAAAAAGTTGTTGAAGATGCCATTACCTTGTTAAATGTAATTTCCTGTCCTAAGAAACTATGCATTGCATAGTATTTTCCCCCCATTTTTTTCTTCTTTATGGCAAGCAGTTATTATTACATAGAAGCATATGAATTTTAGAGTAGTGGTCACCAATCGGTTGTAAGGATTGTGCTGCAATATAATAGCTCATACAAACCCATGCTTAAAAAAAACTGGATATGTAGAAATTAGATGTGCATTAGGATAGTCTAACAGTGTTGTTAAAAGAAATGGTCACTGCATGAATCAACGGTTTGGTCTCTTTGTTATTAAGGAGTGGAAGGGGGGGGGGATGAGTTGGTCTGTGAGAGAGCAGGCACAGAGAGGATGGAGGAGACTGGGCAACCATGTTGGATGATGGGTGCCTACTCATTGAGATAGCCCCATAGTTATGGTATTCCAAAAAAAAACAAAAAAAACAACAGCAACAACAAGCTTGGACTGGTGAACTAACAGCTTCTTTCCCAGCTGAAGAAGAGTGGCTGGAAAGTTTGTTGCTATAATTTTAATTGTTATAGTGTAAATATTTTAAATCTCAACCAATACTTGTGTTCTGGTCAGAACTTTCCACCTCCTTCTTGTATTGGCTAGAGAACAAGCTGTAAAAACAAAAGTGTCAAAAAGTTTGGGTGTTAATAAAATACATAAATAAACAGAATTCTTAAACACACATCAGTTGAATATATTCATTGTTTGATAGTAGTAACCAGTTAATAAAATATTAAAATAACTCGTTAATAGCTGAGCATCTCCTTGTTTTATGCAGACTTCTTTCACCCTGATCCTTGATGCGCTTGTTTCGATGTGGCAGTCTAATGCAATTGATGCAGTTTTATAATAAAGTGTTTATGCATACATTATTAATAAAACAGTAGACAATAAATTCAGAACAGTTCAAATACATAAGTTTAGTTTTGCGATGTTAAGACATTTAGTGAACTGGCCAAAATGCACAATATCGTTAACATTTTTTTTTCATCTTTATAATAGGGTAATTTGAAATGAATATGGAATAGGAGATTACTTGTAATGTGTGCAGAAATTTGACAACATAGGCGTTTGCAACAAAAGCACATGAAAGACTTTAGAATATGTGTAGAACCACCACCATAAGGTAAGAAGAATCATTGGACATTGGCACTAAGGAGCAAAGGGAACATAGACGTATGGGTGGCGGTTATAGAATGTTTTCAGAATATTCGTTTCCATATTACAGCTAGTATGTTCAAAGTCTGATGCCTAGTAGGTCCATTTGAAAAGCCAAGCATCTACAAGTACGCATACTCCGTTAGACAGTATTTAGTTTCTTTAATTTATGGAGCAGGCTGTACAGTTTGTGAGAGAAATTTGTATGTAATATCCCACATGGACCTGTGTAGGCAGTGTAGTATATTTTCATAAACCTCTTCATTCATTTGTTTATTCACTGTTGACTGTACAGAATTTACTATTTGCGCCTTCTTATTTCCTGAAAGCAAAACCTATTGTAATTGCCTTGTCTGTCAGTCAGGGATCATGTTACTATGTTGAACTGCCACCACAAAATTTTGTATATTCATTTATGATACAAATATAAATGTTATGTTCTAAGTTTGAGTCAACTCAGTTTACAGGCTTGTCTTTTTTTTTTTTTTTTTCTTTCTTTTTNAATAAATATAGTTTTTTGCAGAAAGCAACGAAACCATTGCTTGCCTAATATGCATGTGTTATATGTAAGATTTGAAAGATGATACAGTGAAGTTTTCTTGGGATATAAGACAATCTTGGACTGAGACAGGTTCACTAACTTGTCATTACAACATATCATGAGAGTTGGCGCAGCATTATAGTTCTCGCCAGTCTCTGCCCACAGTAAAGTGAGCAACAGTGGCACTGGTCAGGTTAAGGATTGGTGATTGTTTATGTATAGCCTCTCATTTGTTCATTCTTTAAAATTACTGTATTGTCTCACTTTCCTACCACCACCATTTGTCTTTTGAGAAAGGCATAATTAACTTCAGGAATTGCAGCACTGCCTGAGAAGACTTCACTGCTGTTATAGATTTGTTTTGTTGAACACATAATTCTTTACTAAGCCATGAAGGTGAGTTGAGTTGTTCTTTTAACCCTTTTAGTCAAAACAGAAGTTTACTTATAATTACAGCTTCACAGGTCATTAATTTAAACTGTATTAGACTTCAGAAGGTTTCTGCAAACAGTTGTAATGTGCAGTTTGGAAAATCACTTCCCTTCTCTTTCTTGGTAGCTTTAAACAATTAACATATGATACTAATTACCAGTATGTTTACTCTGGAAGCATTCTTGTGTATTGTTGAAATTCAAGTCATATGTGACAGCAATCGGCTTACCACAAACAAGATACTGAAATTCATCTTTTAACTACCATGTGGGATAATGTTTTTGCATATTTAATGTGTAATTCCATATGTTAAGGGCGAAATGTGTGTTGTTTGTTCTAAAATGAAATTCTAAGTTCATGTCTCAGGTAAATATGGTAGTGTATTGAAAATAAAGATTGTAGCTTGTTTTCTTCATATATCATATAACTCTTTGAATCGGTGAAGTTTGTGTGGGCGTGGACTTAGATATCCTAGGATTACAGAAGCATCTGAATGTACGAGTACTGTTGCAGTTTTGTTTCTGTGTTCACTTGTTTTCATGGCCAATCATAATAACAGGCCTGCACAAATCCTGGTCACCAAGGCACCTAATCTTTTCATAATGGTGCTTCTGTCTATTATGTTACGAGTTCATGACCCTTCAGAGATGAGCAAATATGTTTTTCTTTCGTTTGTCACTCGTATATTTGTTTTCCCTTCCTTTGCCTTTACTGCTTTTAATTTCCTTCTATTTGTCTGTCCCATCATCATTCCTCTACTTAGTCTTCCTCTCCTTTATATTAAGGACAGTTCATTACTCATGTTAAGTTGGTTAGGTAAATAGCTGCTGGCATTTGCCAGCATAGAAAATCATGCTTTTGCCCATGACCATATTGTTCTTTCTAAGACTACTGCATGTCATGAAATGAGGCCACCTCTCTAACGAGAGGAGGGGTATTCGCTACTGCTGGTCACTTCCCATCTTCTGGGGTTGATGCTGCTCCTTGATCACCTCACCACCCACCACCCCTGTTCTTTGTTGTTTTGTCTCTTTATCATAATCCCTCTTCTTCTTCTTCTTCTGTACTGTAGCAATGACATGTTTGGAAGGAGTTGGCTATTTAGACATGGTGCAAGACTGACACTTTTTTAAATTTGATACAAGATTGAGGCCAGAATTTTGAAAAATTCTGAGAACCATAATTTTCCCTAGTAAATTATCTCATAGAATTTTGGGTACCCACAAAACTAGTTACACTGATTAAAATGTGTTAAAGGAAATGTGGAGTAAAGTGCTTATAGGTAAACACTGCCTGATAATTTTCTTATCCAAAATGGTCTAAAACAAGGAGATGCTTTATCACCACTGCTTTCCAACTTTGCTCTAGAATCTGCCATTAGGAAAATCCAGGAAAACCAGGTGGGACTGAAACTAAATGGGACACATCAGCTGCTGGTCTGTGCTGATTATGTGAATGTGTTTGGAGATAACAAAGATACCATAAAGATAATCACAGAAACTTTAATGGACGCTAGTAAGGAGGTTGTTCTAGAAGTAAATGCAGAGAAAACTAAATATATGTTGTCATCTCATCACCAGACTGCAGTGAAAAATCGTGACATCAAGATAATTAACAAATCCTTCGAAAATGTGGTCCAGTTCAAATATTTGAAAATGACAGTAACAAATCAAAATTTGATTCAGGATGAAATTGATAGGAGATTGGCTTTTGGTAATGCTTGCTACCATTCAGTCCATAACCTTTCGTCCCCCTGTCTGCTGTCTAAGAACATAAAAATAAGAATAAACAAAACTATAATTTTGCCTGTGGTTCTGTATGGATGTGAAACTTGGTCTCTGCCATTAAGGGAGGAAGGGTGTTTGCAAACAGGGTTCTGAGGAGAATATTTGGACTGAAGAGAGCTGAAGTGACAGGAGGTTGGAGAAAACTGCATAATAATTAGCTTCATAATTTGTACAGTCATACCTACCTAAACTGAAGGTGATTCCAAATGTAGGACAAGTCTGTACTAGGAAATGTATCAGAACATAAAAAATAGAAAAAGTAATATTATTAATTAATTTCATACTCCTCCTACAGACATGTGAAGGGAAGTAAATATTATAAACATGTTATTTATTATATATACCAAGTTAGTTTCCTTCTTGAAGTAACTAGCCTTTAGTCAGCTCCCAAGTCTCAGTCTGATTATCATTCCCATTATCAGTCTTGACTTTCAGTCTTCTTTCTCACATTCAGTGCTGACATTCTTGTTTATATTGCCAACATTCACAATTCCTGATCCTCCCTCCCATTTCTTCAGATATTCATTCATTCATCAGTAATCTGTCAGACGACAGGTCCACAGTCCAGCACATTTTAAATCCTCTGATTGTCACTTCTGGAGAGATCCATTGCCATGCGTTTCATTATTGTCTCAGTATCAGAACATGGTCCCCAGCCAAGAACCATTGAAACGCAGTTGTTTCAAGTGATAATTAAAAGGCATATTTACTGGAATGTATAGCTGCGAGTATGAAGTCGTCCTTTCAGGTATAGCCACAAGGTTAGTGTTCTTTGCATGATGACTTGACATCCAGTGTTAAATGACCTTTAAATGCATCCAACACAATGATTTCTTGTTTTCTCAACAATACTCTTGCTCCCCTGTTCCCTTAGCTCATTTGGTTGTCCATCACATTGTTTTACACTTGATTATGTCTCATAGGTAGTTGCACCTTAGGCATAGTTTTTTGATTCATTATCAGATGTGGTAGCTCCATGCTGCCTGCCAACTCCAACAAAATTATAGTCACATCTGTTTCCGTGTGCTTTTATGACAACAGAATTTGCACCCACATGATATTGTAATTGGAATGTGTATGAATATTCATTGGCATTTCAATAACATTTCCTTGAAATGTGATGGATACTTTTTGCAAAATTATATTCTGTCTTTAAAGCCATACAGAGGAAAATATTCACACAGAACTGGGCAAATTCTTGTTGTGTCCGTCTTCAGATGTTTGTCTCAGGAGACACCATTTTATTGCTGTTTCACATTTGTTTCTTTGTCCTGTGTGTTTAATCACCATAATCTTACAGTATGAATCAAATTGGCTGGTGCTTGATAACTTTTCAGTACAATATCCCTTTCACAGTATTTTCTTGACATGATTTGCCACTTGTCTTAACACAAAATCGTGCAACATGATCAGCGAATTATTTATTTTGTTCCTTAACTTAGATGCTACTTCGGACAACCTCAAGGCAGCATGTGGCTTATGACCTTGAAATATATTTATGTCTGTCTCACTTTCACTTGCT